TCATTTTTGTGCGGAATTGCAGCCATCAACACCATCGCACACTGTGTTCGGTGACCCTTTGTTCAACAACAACAGAGCATTCTCCCTCGCATGGAGGAATTTCTGGATCTTGCTTATGATCATCTTGAGGTATGGACATCTCATGCTAACTGATTGCGACATTGTTGATTGAACAGTGATTTTATGGCTATCAGTTTTCTGGCAATGCACAGATAGTTCAGACGTGGACGATGGTGGTGACTTCAAGCCAGAAGAGAGTTCCTCAGATATGGAGAGCGGATGTGATCTTGAGGTGAAGAGACTCAGCCCACCCTTCCTGCCCTTCCTGCCCTTCCCACCCAGCCATCATCCATCAAAACAAAAGTTGACCTCCATACAACTGATGCAGACCAAAACAGAGGTCTGTTTAAGTTCTTCCCAAAAGTATCACACAAGGAGCATCTACAACATGCTTGGAAGCCTTTTGCTTGGGAGCTCAGAGATTAGGAGTGGGACCGTTATCAGCAAGGATTTGATAAGTTTGAGAAGGCTACTTGCAAGTGCGAAAGAGCAGCTGAGTGAAAGAGAAACCAGCAAGCATGTGAAAAGGCTGCTAAGCAGGTGAGCATTTGTCTTCTTTTCACTCTGAGTCATCCTAATGGCTCACATGTTTTGTCATCAGAAACCTGCCATTGGTTCTATTCTTCATGACAGCAATCCTCAGGCTCAGCCACCAGTAATCACTATTGCAGAGGTGTCATGTCCATATTGCCAATTGCAAAGGCATGCTTGTAGCAAGTGGACATGGAACCTTGGCCAGAAGTGCAAGCAGGAGGATACAGATGCTTTGCATGTCAACTGGCAAAGTCCCTTGTTATGGCTAACTATCGAGATGGCCACTCTCCGTGTTGGCCATGGGATGTCACCAGTGCAGATCAAGTGTGAGCTTAAATGAATTGACCCCACTCGCTTTGGTGGGATCCATGTGCAAGTTATAGGAAGCTGAATAGACCATAGCAGGACATGACCAGCATGGCATGCCAATGTGCTTGCCTATGTTCAGAAGGGCAATGTTCTGTTAGTGAAGGCAATACCACCTGGTATCCTCTCAAAGCATTCTAATGTTGTCAAGACCATCATGGAAGACCTGCATGCTCTGTGCACTGTTGGTGTAGCTTTAGACACCAGGCATTGTCATAGCGTAATCATTGCCTGCCTCACTGTCTCTTGTCCTGAGGTCTTTGAGGCTGTTAAGAACCATGTTGCTCAAGGGGGAGAGAGATTGACTCAGAGGGGCTTGGCCTCAGCTCATACGCTGTGCCCCTTACCCGAGTATGTGCCCTTCATTTCATATCAGGTCCAATGATGGTCCGATGAAGTCCGGAGGACTTCTGGAGGCTGGCTACTCTGCTGGAGAGCGCTAGAGGACTTCCAGAGGAGCACAGGAAACATCCAGAGGAGCGCAGGAGAGTTCCAGAGGAATACAGGAAGTGCTCAGGAGAGTTCCCACTACAAGGTAATACTTCTACAGGAAACAGGATGGAAGGATAGGAGGTCCAAAGGTCCAGAGGACAGGAGGACAGGAGGGCAGGAGGGCAGGATGACGGAGGACAGAAGGACAGGATGTCCAGAGGTACGAAGGACAGGATGTCTGAAGGTACAGAGGGTAGGATGTCTGAAGGACAGGAGGATAGGATGTCCAAGGGTTAGGAGGGCGGAATGTCTGAAGGACAGGACATCCGGAGGTCTGGAAGGAATAGGGGCTACATTGGATGAAGTCCGATGTAGAAACAAGCAGGGGTAGACTACCCTAAGGTAGAGTCAGAGGGACAGGGATTGGACCTAAGTCTGGAAAGAGGGTAAGTGCTGGAAAGGTGGAGCTCCAGCCTAGGGAATCAATCCCTAGGCCTGATGGGTAGGACAGACTTAGGTAAACCAAAGTCTGAGAGAAGATTGGGCAAGTCTAAGTTGATATTCAAACTGAGGAACTACAGGAGTATCTACAGGGGTTATATACTGAACAATATCTGAGAGGATCAGTAAGCAAAGGAGCAAGGCTATGTATGAGCATGTGGAAACACATTAGTAAGTAAGTTGGAACATAAGTAAATGAACTTGGAGATGAGGACTCATACAAGGATCAATAAGCAAGATGGAACAAGAGGTAACTGAAAGCCGGAAGGCAGAGAATGCCTAAATGGGGATAGGCACAGGATATTGGACAGAGGGTGGGAATAGGTCTGGAGTTAATATCCAGAGGTCCAGAGATCTGGGGATCCAGAAGACAAGGTGGATACAGGACCGGGATATGAGAAGGTGGATAGAGTCTGGAATCCGAGACGAGGTGAAGTCTGAATGTCTTGCTGGATGGAGTGTACATAGGGTGGATGGGACAGGGGGTTATGGTTCAGGCTAGCAGTGGAGATCCGATGGTCTGGAGCTCAGGGGTAAATCTGGAGCGTAGTCAATCCTGCTGAGGTGTGGAGCACACAGTGGAAGGGGTTCTGGGAATGAGTTGGATATGAAGTGTGGTCCGGATGTAGGCTTGGAAGGCGTGGGAATATGATGGAATGTGGGTCCGGATTGTGGGATATGACAGAGGCTGTTGCAAAGGATGGCTCATGCTTTCAATGTACAGAGCCTTGGGTCAAGAAGTTCATAGCTGCAAATCTCAATTGGTTGTTTCATTGTGCAACTCATGCTGCTCAGAAAACCCCTTCCAATGCTGACCAACTTTGTCTGGACCAATTCCTTTGTTTGACTTTAACTATTTGGAACTGCGCCATTTTTCATGCTTGTTTCTACGTTAACATCAACTAGACAAATATTGTGTATCAACCTGCAAACACCACTACGTATGAAGAAGTTGGTTCTAAGCAAGTTGCGGTTATTGGACAGGAGGAGAAGCGAGCATTCACTGTGGTGGTCAGTATATCTGCCTCTGGTGATGCTTTCCCATTTCAGGTCATTTATTGCAGCAAAACTACATGCTCCCTCCCCACAAAAAGCACACCACAATTCAAGGAAGCACAGCGCTTAGGCTTCAAGCTGTGCTTTTTGAATACTGACATGTACTGGTTGACGTTTGAGCTTATGTGTGACTATGTTCATGATGTCCTCGTCCCTTACTGGACAAGACAGAAGGAGCTTGTCAGTGCACCTGATGATCAAGAGTGTATCTTACACCTGGATGTTTGGTCGGTCCACAAGTCTATTCAGTTTCACACTTGGCTTGATCAACATTACTCATGAATCAAGTATCACTTTGTCCCTGGTGGTTGCATGGGCATTGCCCAACCATGTGATGTTGGTATCCAGCGCCTATTCAAGCTCACTGTCAAGCACTTGCAGCATGCTGACATTGTTGACAAGTCTTTGTCATTGCTGAAGAAAAATGATGCCGCCACTGTCATTTGACTTGACACAACATTGCCCACACTGCATGATAGATCACTGCACTAGCTTATCAGTGGCTATCATGCCATTAACAAGCCTGACATTGTTAGACAAGTAAGTACATCATCCTCATATCCCTCACCAATGGCACTGACCCATTCAGGCATGTTTTCAATGTAAGGCCAGCACCTCATTCAATCTCTCCTTTGAGAACCTTACCAGCCGTGAAGCTCTTCAAGCACTGTGTGACGTGGAGAAGAATGATGTTGAGACATGGGACTGAATCAAGATGGCTCAATACAAGGTTGAAAAACCTCAATCCAAGTTGGCACTAGATGAGGTCAAGCCACCATTTGCACATGCTGCAGACATTGAACTCAACCCTTGTGATGTTCCTGTTGATGCTGTACTAATTCACATGACATCAGGAGGGTCAGTCCCTCATGGCTACAGTACTGATGATTCTGGCAATCTGCTAGCTTGCAACAAGGCAGAAAGTTATAACCAAGAGCTCGCAGCTTCCGCCACTGAAGGTGATGAGGAGATTTTTGGTTGTGGAAAGTGCAGACACATGGAAAATATGCAGTACAAATTTTTTTGGAAACATTGACCCATAATCTATGCTTTTTTCATGTTTTACCATATGTCACAATTTACCTTTGACAAGTTCAATTTCATGTGACTGTCACACAAAATAGCTTTGATTTGTTGGATGTGTGACCCTGTGATGAAGCTAAGTGTGTATCTCTACAGTAGTCAGGAAATGATTGAGATCCTTGTTGAGGTGTGACAGAGCCAAAAATCACATCTGCCTGTCACTAAGCTGAGTCTGCTGTAGTGGAGTTTTAGTTCTGCTGAACCACTCATACTGGCAAATCTGCTTGAATCTTGGGCAAAATATGAGGTGTGCTTGGGGCAGGGGTGTCCATTCCCCAACTCTGAGCAAAGGGGTCCAGTGTGGGTTGTGGATTCACTTTCCTCATACAAGCTTAAACATTATCATGCAAGCTCTTGGACTTGCCATCGAAAAAAGAACACAATTGCTTTGCTGACCAACAAAATCAAGATATACCTTATTGAGCACCCTGCACTGGCAGACAATGTATGCTTTTCTGCATTGTTTGTAGGCATATGCACAGGTTTTGAAAACCTGTGTGGGTGGTGGGTGTGGATGTGGGCCTGACCTTGTGCCACCTGTACCCTCACCCATAACCTTGGCTCAGGTTGACACATGAAATGATGTTACATATCACTAGTACTAAACATAAACATGAACTCAGCAATGCTTAACTGTACAGTGTTTCAAACTAAACCATGCACTATGACATCCTCAACACACCCTGATACATCCTTGTCATGCAACTCAATATGTTCTCACAAACTGCCTGCCAAGTTTCCAAAGTAACTGATAAGGCCAAGGCAGCTATTGAAGAGAAGCTCACTGACTCATCAAAGAAAAGGAAGACTGATACGAGTCAGGCAAGCTTGGCACCTAGGCAATCTGTCATATCCCGTATGCCAGACATAGATCCCATCATATTCCCACGCTTTCCAGACCTATTTCCGGAGCCCATATCTGACTCATTCCTGGATCCCTTATCCTGTCCACCCTATGCACATTCCGTCCAGCAAGACATCCAGACTTTACCTCTTCTTGGATTCCGGACTACATCCACCACCTCACATATCTCAGTCCTGTTTCTGCCCTGCCTTCTGGATCCCCAGATCTCTGGACCTCTGGATATTAACTGTACTATCTCCGGACCTATTCCCACCCTCCATCTGAGATCCTGCGCCTATCCCCATTTAGGCATCTCCCCCTTTCTGGTTCTCGGTTATCTCTGTTTCCATCTTGCTGATTGATCCTTGTACTAGTTTCATCTCCGAGTTCATTTACTTATGTTCCGTCTTACTTACCAATGTGTTTCCACATGCTCATACATAGCCTTACTCCTTTGCTTACTGATCCTCTCAGAGAGCCTCTAGTATATAACCCCTGTACAACTACAGTAGAGTCCTCAGTCTGAATATCATCTTAGATCCTGTTCTACTTGCCAATCATCTTCCGGACTTCGGTCCATCTGAGTCTCGTCCTTTTCCATAAGGCCTAGGGAAGGATTCCCTAGGCTGGAATTCTGGACCTTCAGATTTGTCCCCTATGTCTCTGTCCCAAGTCTAGGGATTGCTTCCCTAGGCTAGAGTCTTGCCTTTCCGGCACTTACCCTCTTTCCAGACTTAGGTCCACTTCCTGTCCCTCTGACTCTACCTTAGGGTAGTCTACCTCCATTTGCTTCTACATCAGACTTTGTCTGATGTAGCCCCTATTCCTTCTGGACCTCCAGACCTTCTGTCTTCTGTACCTCTGGATGTCCTGTCCCTCATACCTCCAGGCATCCTGTCCTTTGGACGTCCCGCCCTCCGTACCTTTGAACGTCCCACCCTCTGTACCTTCAGACATCCCACCCTCCATACCTTCAGACACTCCATCCTCCATACCTCCATGTCCTGTCCTCCGGACCTCTGGACCCCCAGACATCCTGTCCTCTCCACCAGAGTAGCCAGCCTCTGGAAGTCCTCTGGACTTCATCAGACCATCATCGGACTTCCTCTGAAATGAAGGGCACATACTCAGGTAAGGGGCACAGTGTATGAGCTGAGGCCAAGCCCCTCTGAGTCAGTCTCTCTCTCCTTTGAGCATGGTTCTTAACACAATCAAAAAAAGTCAAACCTACCCAATTGAATTGGCCTGCTGAAGATATATGGTCAAACAACATGGCACCTCCACTCCCTGCAGTGTTACCAAAGCCTCCAGTGCAGGCACACTGTACTGTTCAAATTGAATCAGAAGCAGAAATTCATGAGAATGCAATCATGGTTGAGGACAAAAGCAAAGATGAAAATGATACACCAGAGTGGGAATCAAATCCAGACATCGAGACTCCAGATAATGAGCTAAGTAAGACAGATAAATTAATTTAAATCACTTTGTTAACAAAAGCATAGAATGACCAATGAAAGAATGGATCTCACCTGTGTATGCCTTCTTTGAGCCTACTCCTTGCATTGTTGAAATTAATGGAGGCTGTGCCCATGAATTTAAATGTGGTGCATGTGGATGCAAAACAACCATTCAATGATTCCTTGACAAAAAAGATGTGTGATCGACAGGCAACATGAGGAAACATGTTAAGTCCTGCTGGGGGAATGCCACACTGATGGCTGCTGATAATGTGAAAGATGCAAATGAGGTCTGGACAAAGATTGTTACAGGTATCCTATGAGATGGGTCAATCACAGAGTCTTTCAAACATAAGGGGAAGGGGAAGGTTACATGCTCTCACCATCAGCATACATGCACTGAGACAAAGTATGTAATTGAGCCTGCAATAGATGCTACCAGGAAACTGACAATGTTGCAGAGCCAAAATAGCCTGCTGGGTGTCAGAAAGCCTGCAGCCATTTGAGATTGTGAAGGACAAAGGATTTCAGTTGTTGATGAAAACTGGAAGGCTAGAGTATCACATACCTTCCCCAACAACTGTTGCACATAATGTCAAACTTGTATTTGTGTGTACACACCAATGGATTGCTGGAATGTTGCAGGTTAGTTTCTTCGCATTTGATTATACTAAAACTAACCCAACTGACAAGGAATATGATGGTAAAATGAACTTTACCACTGATGGATGGATGTTGATGAACCACTGTGCACTCATGGCATTCTCAGTCCACCTGGAGCACCAAGGTGTCCCTCTAAGCTTCCCATTAGATATTGTCAAGGTTGCAACAGTATGGAAATGACTTACTCAGACTGGATATACCTTGACATGGTAACACACACAGTTACATACTGGCAAGGAGCTTGCAGCTGTTTTTGCAAGCATGCTAAAGGAATTTGGGATATCAGAAAAGGTAGCAGTGAAGGAATCAACTACTCAGCTATGGCTCTACAAGGAATACCAAGTCAGAGTATATAGGTGGTCATCTCAGCTCTGCCTAGGCTGCTATACTTCACAAAGGCAAGTGCATTTGACCCAAGGGGAAGCAAGTGCAACACATCCACAGGTCGTGTGAAGTGTGGGAAAGTTGTGTACATGAAGGCGAAGGTGTGCAAAGCATGGGAAAGTTGCACACTAATAGGTGAAAGTGTGCAAAGGTATCAAGAACCAGTTTGCTCAAAGTGAAAAGAGAGACCGACTCAGAGGGGCTTGGCCTCAGCTTGTACGCTGTGCCCCTTACCTGAGTATGTGCCCTTCATTTCAGAGGAAGTCCAATGATGGTCTGACAAAGTCCGGAGGACTTCTGGAGGAATACAGGAAGTGCTCAGGAGAGTTCCCACTGCAAAGCAATACTTCTACAGGAAACAGGATGTCCAGAGGGACGAAGGACAGGAAGTATGGAGGGATGGAGGACAGGATGTCCAAAGGACAGGACACCCGGAGGTCTGGAAGGAATAGGGGCTGCATCAGATGAAGTCCAATATAGAAACAAACAGAGGTAGACTATCCTAAGGTAGAGTCAGAGAGACAGGGATTGGACCTAAGTCCAGAAAGAGGGTAAGTGCCAGAAAGGCAAAGCTCCAGCCTAGGGAATCAATCCCTAGGCCTGATGGATAGGACAGACTTAGGTGGACCAAAGTCTGAGAGAGGATTGGGCAAGTAGAGCAAAGTCTAAGATGATATTTGAACTGAGGAAACTACAGGAGTATGTACAGGGGTTATATACTGGAGAATATCTGAGGGTATCAGTAAGCAAAGGAGCAGGGCTATGTACGAGCATGTGGAAACACATTGGTAAGTAAGACAGAACATAAGTAAATGAACTTAGAGATAAAGACTCATACAAGAATCAATAAGCAAGACAGAATAAGAGGTAACTGAAAGCCAGAAAGGCAGAGATGCCTAAATGGGGATAGGTGCAGGATATTGGACAGAGGGTGGGAATAGGTCTGGAGTTAATATCTGGAGGTCTGGAGATCTGGGGATTTGGAAGATGAGGTAGATACAGGACTGGGATATGAGGAGGTGGATGTAGTCTGGAATCTGAGATGAGGTGAAGTCCGGATGCCTTGCTGGATGGAGTGTGCATAGGGTGGATGGGATAGGGGGGTATGGATCAGGCTAGCAGTGGAGATCCAATGGTCTGGAGCTCAGGGGTAATTCCACAGTGGAGCTGATCCTGCTGAGGTGTAGGGCAGTAGAGTGGAGGGAGAACTGGGAACGAGTTGGATATGAAATGGGGTCCACACATAGGCTCGGAAGGCATGGGAATATTATGGAATGTGGGTCCAGATTGTGGGATGTGACAAAAGGGCTAGGAATGCGATGAAGACTAAGGGTGAATGATGGCTGATACTGATGGGCACGAGAATGATAAATGCGATGGTGATAGGACGTGATTGCCAATAGCTACTGACTATGGCTCTAAATGCATAAACTATGCTGAGGGATGCTAAGTGATGCTAACTGGGAACTAACTAAGCCATCAAAAATGCAAATGCTAACATGCAGAAGCCGACTAAGCATGTTCCCATGATGCAGAGTTGATGCGAGTAAGGTGCAGGAATGAAGAAGGTATATGTAAGTAAGGGTCCATGATGGAATATCGTGTCATGATAAGGATAAATGCAAAAATGTACCAGGAAGACTCACTGGACAATGGATGGATGCTCCTGGATGATGGGTGATGAGGCGTGGGAAAGCGTGTGGGATGCGCATGGGAAAGTGTCACAGGAGAGTAGTGCGCATGTTGCACAATGCATGGGAAAGTCACACACATATAGGCTGAGTGAGGGAATGATATAGGGAATGATGCCACAAGTTCATGCTGTGAACTGTATGCAGATACATCACAATATAGGGCTCTATGGGCATACAAAGGTGCAAGTCTCTACAGCAGTCTAAAAATAATGAAAGGATTTACCAACTAATGTCACAAGCCATAGATTCTGAGTATTACATGTGATAACATGTCTAACAACAATGTTATGATCAAGGATCTTGCCATATTGGTGCCTGAGTTTGCAGGGAGTGCAAGTCATACACAGTGTTTTCTGCACACTGTCAATCTTGTAGCAAAGTCCCTCATTCATGATTTTGATGTGGCAAAGAAAGAAGCCAATAAAGCCTTGTATGGAAAGGAGGTTGCAAATGAAATTGATGAGCTGAGGACAAATGATGAGAATGAAGAAGATGTAATCATTTCTCAAGACTTGGACAATGAATTGATAGACAATGATGAAGGCTGGGTGGATGATGTTGAATTGTTGCCAGCAGATGAGCACAACAAACTACAAAAAAAAATATGACTGGTCAAATTAGTACTCCTGAAGGTAAGTATACAAAAACATACATGTGCACCTTTAAACTAAAGAATCCATCCAGCTGCTCAAGCTCAGCTACAAGCTCATACATTCCACAACAGTCCTGCTCCCTGCCTAGCATGAGATTCTTGGTGACTTGCACATGACAAAGACTAATATGCTGTGAGATGTATCAACCTGCTGGAACTTGACTTTCAATATGCTTGAGTATTCTCTTGAACATTGGAAGGCTGTCAACACAGTGACACAGCACTGAGAGTTAGGTTTGTGCAAGTTTGAACTCACACATCAGCAAAACCCTAACCCTATGTGCAGTGCTGCACAATGCTGCACAGCAATCACAGTGTTACAGCGGGTCCCCTCATGTACAGTGCTGTACAGTGCTGCACACTACACAATTTCTCAATAAAACATAATTATTAGCACACCATCTTGTTATATATGTACATGTTTATGACTACATTAAACTCATTTTTACATAGAATCAATACTTGTGTGGTGCTGCAGAGCCTTTACAACAAAATCTATGTGACCTGTGAAATGGTAAGCTCAAGGCAGAACAATGGGAGATGGCAATTGAATTTGACTTACTGGTGATGCTCGTAAAACTTTTGGGGATGAAATATGATGGAGATGAACGGAAGCCAAAATTAGCTCATAGCACTATGCTGCTAGCAATGGCAATACAATGGGGAACATCTCACATAACATCCCCACATCACACTCAGCAATATGGAAAATACATGAAGACCTATCTGGAGTGCATTCAAGATGTCTTTCCAGGCCATTCTTTCTGTCCTAACCACCACGCATGCCTCCACCTACACGAGTTCCTTCTGAGATACAGACCAATGCACGGCTGGTGAATGTTTCTCTTTGAAAGAATAATTGGTGGTTTACAGAAGACCAATATGAACCATAAAATTGGTGAGCATAGAATGGAAATTCAGAGAAGCATATTGAATAGGGCTCTGCAGGGGAATTGGAAACAACTATGCTAGAGACATTCTGTGCTGCTGCAAGAGCCTGAAGCACCTGATGTTGTCAACAAAGCAGTTGAAATCCTGCAGCAATGCTGCCCTCCTTTCACAGAAGGATTTTGTACAGACATTGGCAATCTTTGACACATCTTGGATAAGGCAGTGACTCACCTCAATGGGAATGACTATATCATGGAGTACAAACGACTGGATGTAGGAGGGTTGCAATATTCCAGTTGTAACTATTCCACTCCAGATAGTCGTGTGTTCTTCCTGAATACATCCAAAAAATGCATGCCTGGCATCATTGAGCACATATTCTCTGCAGGGCAAGATCATGATCAGGTTTACTTCATGGCAATCAGAGGTTACTCATCAGTGCCTGCAGGGTACAAAGATCCCTTTTTAGCTTACAAAGACTTTGGCCCACAGATATGGAAGCATACTCAAAGTAGTCAACTGGATATTGTTCCAGTGTGCACGAGTGAACTTTGTCATGCTGTGTTGATGCCTTGGGGAACATCTGAATTGGTGCTAAAGCCAATGAACTGAGTTAGTTATTTTGGCTGATTCACAGGACTTCTTCAACTAACTTATCTCATAGGACTTTGGTAATCCATCATCTGGTGACACTAATCATGACATGCATGGTCTGTAAAAAATGATTCCTGAGGAGAACAACTGTCATCAGCAAGACCAATAGCAATACTCAAGGATAGGATATTGTTTCTGCACCTACATGAAATGAGTGATGGACACTGTCGATAAGACTGGAACCCACCTCTGCATAGACAATAACTAACTGCGGCTGTGCTTGGAGCCTCCATGACTTGTGCACTTTGAGGTATTCATGGGCTAGTTGTGAAACAAAAGCCTGCATGAAAACGATTTGAACAGAAACTAGATGGGACAGACAAAACAAAAATGCACACAAGTTTCTTCATACTCAGATGCAGGCCAGCCAAGTGTCTCCTGTAAATTATATCTGCCCTGACTGAGATGGGAGACCTCTCCTTGTGGCTTCAGAATCTTGGAGGGCAAAGGAACCACTGGCGGAATTTGTTCTACGGCATCAGGCAACAATGAATCTGTGTCACATGAGAACACTTGATGCTGTGTCAAAGGAGGAGGGGAATAGCCTTGTTCAGGGGAAAATTTGCAATGGACGGTGAGAGGCTTGAAGTGGCAACAGTACCACCATTCAGAACACGCTTTGGGCATATTCAGTTAGTCAAACTTGTTGAGCAGGTAGATGTTACAACACTCACTGTTATGATCAATAGCATGTGCTATTTAGCAATGCACAGATTGGTCACTAGCAGGATATCAGTTGTTGTTAGTTTGTTCCAGCATCAAAGCAACTACCTTGTACTCACATGTAGTATTTTTGATTGGTCTCAGTCATTAATATGATTATCATGCAAATGAATGACTACTATGCAAAGTTAATGACTACAGACACAAGTACTAAGACAATACTCCATCTCCCATATGATCCTTCTATTAGGACTATCAGTGTGGATGAAGTTGCCATTATGTTCAATCTACCAGACCTTCAACCAGCTCTCACTGATTTTCTTTACCATGAGGTGACATCTGGATATTGTGTTCACGCAATTGGTGGTCCCAGAAGAGCTGGACCCAATGCTGAACTTCCATTCAATAAGCTCCAAGTGTGGTTCAAAATCCATTTACAAGAAACAAACTTTCACCATGCTCACAATTGTTCACCCAGCTCAGACATTAAACTGTGTACCACCTAGTGGTCTCTGGACTTCAGGCTGTTATGACACAGTCATTATCCAGACCAATGCAGACCATTTGTGGCCTACTAGTGATCTCTCAGGTGTGCTCTTTCTGTCTCATTGCAACATTCACTATGTACTAAAGAATGAGCTCTGCAGGTCACTATGTTGCCCAAATCAGACTTCTTGTATGGCCTATTGGCAAACATGGCATGCTATGGCCATGGAAAGATCAGTTCATCACTTATGTCCAATGATTTGATATTTCTAGTGAATGTGATCCAACTACTCAGGCACATGTGCTGAAAAGATCGATGCGCTCTAATGGCATTCAGATGGGGGATTTCATTCCGGTCTCTCAGCTAAGAGCACCTGTCCATCTTGTGCCTTGATTCAGCGCCACTGCGGACACACATTTCACTGCCTACAATAGCATGGAGCATGCAACAGAGTTTTGGCTAAACTATTTTTGGGACAAAAACACCTTTTTTGCACTGTCAGTTTAATATTGCACTGAGTTCATACCTAATAAGCAACACTTTCAGACCCTAAAAACATGAGTACCATGTAGAGATAGATTATATGTACCTGTTGAAATGACATCTTTGTTCCCTCTTGCATGCAGTCATGGCACCTGTGGAACATGGTAAAACTATAGATTATGGGATGAAGCTTACATCACTGATGTTGGCACCCGTTGTCAATGACATACCTACACTGGACAAACTCACTGCTCTTAAGCTCAATCGCGTAATCTTGCACAAATCATTACCACCAAATGACAATGTGGAGCTCAGTTATATGCTGTCACAGATATTTAAATCATTTACCTTTCAACTCCCAGATGTGACAGAGCTATAGGTCCCATTACATAAAATTTGCTATCAGGACAACAGACTTCACAGAAAGTTTGCCACAACAGTCAAAAATGACCTAGTTCACCTATACAACAAATATCAGTGCCAGTGGAACTGGCTGCTCCCGAAATCACACCATGATTGGGTTGAGCAATGGCTGCTCACTGGTGATGGGAGTCTTGCCAGTGGAGATGGGCAGGAGCAGGGTGCCATGGCAAGTGTGGAGTCTGAGTCTGGAGGTAGAGGTAGCTTGAGTGGTAGCTTGCCCTTGGAGGATGAAATAACCTCTGGGTCACAGCCAGTGGACAATGATGACAATGCACCATCACCACTGTTTGAGGGAGTCTTTGCGATGTTTTTCCATGTTATATGTTTCGCACTTGTGCAGAAGTCCAGGAGACCAATCCAGTGCCACGCCTGTGGAGTGCAGGAAATGCTACACGCCCTGTGAAAGATGAAGAAGTTGTGCCAAAGCCTGACCTTGTGTTATGGGATGATGTAGAAGCTCGATGGGATGCCAACATACCTTCTCTTCAGACACCAGCCTTGGAGATGGTTCGTTCTACTCACATCCATAACCAAAGGATATCACGAACTTTGAGTTCCATTGCATACATGTATCCAGTCTGATGTCAAGTCATTGAATTTCAGCTGCATCTTGCATCCTGATAGCATGTGGATGGTGAATTGAACTATTTCTGGAGGTAAGCATCATTTCTTCATGTTGTGAGCCAGCTGATCCGTAACCATGTTGGGGAATGCACCTTCAATGTTGAGAAAGAGGATTGATGCTACTTTACCATTGTGCCATGCATTCTTGACTGTTACTTCTAAGAGGTGTAGTGAGTCAGTTGTTGTTCGTCCTGGTCATCCTCCAAAGTGGGTGTTGGGTAGAAGATCGTGGTGTTCCACTAGGTCTGAGACTCGTTCAGCTATGATTGCTGTTAGTAGCTCACACATTGTATTGATCAGAGTGATGGGATGGTATGCCTTGGGGGTCATGTAGTCTGCTTTTCCTGGTATTTTAAGGACTACTGTGGTGAACTCGCACCATAGATTGTAGTAGGTGCCAAGAGCAAAGACAGTGTTGAATAGGTGTTTGAGGTGTTGGGTCAGTATAGCTGATGCCCATTTGAAGACAATGTTGCATATTCCATCTGGACCTGGTGCTTTGTAAGAGCTGGTGTTGTCTATCGCTTTTGTGATTTGCTCTTCCGTGATCATTGTGAAGGAGGCAACTGGGTATGGATAGTTGTAGTCCGGTGGGACTGAACTGTTATCTGGGGGTGGTGGGAAGAACGTGTTAGCAAGGGCTTTGCTCTTCTCGTCATTAGTGATAACTTCGACCAGATCGCCTTCCTCATTCTTAATTTTGAGGACTGGGACACTAGATCTTCCTCCATCACCATAGGGGGTTTTATGTATTGGTTTGCTGTGTGTACTGATTGTTGGGGTGTTCTTCATGGCTAGGGTGCTCAGGTAGTCCTCTCATTCTGTAAGAGATGTCACTTAGCTTGTTTTTCTGTTTCAGCATCAGAGTTAGTTCTTTCATCCACCACCTCTTCACATGCAGACTTTGCCTCATTTTTGGAACTTTCTGCTTGATGGTTTGACTGATAGCAGTTTTGAGGTTAGCAGCAGCAGCTTGGAATTGCTCCTCTGTCGTGATGGTTATTGGGTCTGAGAATTTGGCTAGGTTCCTGTTGAGAGTGCCACAGAATTCATCCCAGTCGACACCTTGGTAGTTGAATGTGGTTGTCATGGATGCTTGGGGGATGGGGAGGTGTACTAGTAAGAACAGTAGATAGAACTTACTCTAACGAGATCCACCCAAACAGACTCAGACTCAGGTGTGATGTTGGCGCCAAGCTCATGGCTCCATGAAATTCCGGAAAAGTTCGCAACCCGGTTGACAACTGAATAGGTGGCACACATCTTGAATTATTTTAGTAAGATAGGAGGACAGAGGGAGTGCCAAAAAAAATACCCTAGACCATTTCTGTTGACACACCTCAGCTGTTTTCACTGCACCAATTGTGGTGGTGTGCACTACATCGGCGGCAGCCTGCGTCCAAAATGTCTTATCAAAATTGAGTCCATCACCCCCTTTTGCTTTATGGGTGGTAACATAGTCGAGGAGACGTAACTCATCAGCACTTGACCAGTTACATCTTTTACCTTCCTGGCCCACTGATTCACCCCACTTCTTCTCATCTGTTGCTTTTTTTTGCCATGGATGTATATGAAGGCAGGGAGAGGACACCACTGAATTTTGAGTGGGTATTAACCCTGGACCTTGAAGATCTAGTCTGAGTTCGAGTTGCTGGCATGTTGACTGTTCATTATCTCTTGATTATTGATTGTCACACTGATGTCACACAGAGCTTAGATGACAAAGCAAATCTAGAGGCAAATTTCTCAAGTTGAGTCGGCCTAAATTTTGTGGCCACACAGACTCTTATCTAGGCACATGCATACCACCTCTGATATTGTATTGACTTTCTGCTCATGATCAGTTTTGAAGAGGATAGCAATGGTGGGGATTATATCTATGTGCATTGGGGTTAGTGATGGTGCTTGAACTGAGAAGTCCAGGAGAGCTGTAGTTAATGTATCTATGGTTATTTCCACCACTGGGGTGATGAATAACCTGGTCTCTAAAGCTATTCTTGCTGTTTGTTCATCTATGATTTCTGAAGCAATTGCAGGATCATTAATAAGTTCCGGGATGGATCTTTTGGATGACCTGAATGTGACTGCATGGCATTTGGGCCTTGCTTGTTTGGTGTTTTGGAAGTTCTCTGGAGGATCTGTTGACATTATATGGATTAGTTTCAATATCTTGTTATGCTTATATGCAGGGTTTGAATAGTGCTCTGGCGCTGTAAGGCTGTTTTGGCACTGTCGTGCACTGTGTTGGTTGAGTAGTTATGGGGTCCTACTCAGGGTGCCACTTGGTACAAGTCCAAGAAGCAATTAGGTAAGGTGTTATGAGTTCGGCATGACAGCCCACTGCTCATACTCTTGACAGAGATGAGCTCTAAGAGAGTATATATTCCACATGATTGTGTTCAAAATTAGTCCTGCATGATTCTGAACTCTATGACCATCCTCCCTACAAGGCCATAAACCTTGGTTACTAATAGACCAGCTTTGGCCCTGTGAATTGTGAATTGTAACGAGTCAATCATTGCCAAGTATTCAAATATGGAATGAACTTGCCCAATGATCTTCAACTCACTCAAGGTTCACTCTTTGGCATTAAAAAGAAGCCACATAGTCATGTCTTGTTGGTACACTGTGTGATTCCCTGCCCCGAAGTTCAATAACATAGGTTCAGGAGCCTTATGCTGATGAATACAGAAATATGCTATCAGGCTAAACTCAAAAACTCACCTTGCTAAACTCAATAGTTCCTGCGCCAGGCTCTTTGACTGTGTGGAAGAGCACACAATCATCTAGCACAAACATCAATTCTGGAGCAAACACCAGTTAAAACTGCAGCTGACTCATGAAACAACACTCAGCTGTTTGGTCCCATTACTTTGTGAATATTATGAAGGATCATCATCGACTCAGCATTGGGCCAGTCATGAAGAATGTTCCTCAACTAAATCAGATTATCAAGCTGAATGGGAACAAACTTATCCACTTATGTAGTAGACATCCTGTCCAATGACAGGTGACTCCTTGTGAATGGCACGAATTCCACGCCCATTGTGCATTGCCTCAGGAGCATCCTTCTCCCATGCCTAATCAAATTTCAATGGCTTGTCTGCTAGAATAATTACATAGACCAGATATTTGAGCCTGCTCTACGACTCCTGGGAGATCCTGATTAGTTATTCTGAGGTGAGGAAACATGTTCACCAGAGGAATGGAAATTCCTCCAATTCCAGATCCAATATCCACCATAGATGATACAGTGTCCTAAGGGTAATCTTAGGAGACACTTCACAATCATTCTGACGACCAAAAAAGGTGATAGCTTACAATGCATGTACCGTGTGTCGTGGAGGAGCCAATACCACACTCAATTGATGATGGTATGCACCTTCAAGCAACCTGATTGCCTTCCTAAGGGCAAGTGTGTCTGTTGCCAGATTGAGGGGGTGAAAAGTAGTTGAGTTGGCACCAGGAACCCCATGTCTGCTTTTCTTGTATTCTTCCATTGCTTTGCATGCAGAGGAGTTGATGATGTCCAAGAGGACTTCAAATTTGAGCTCATTCAAATCCGTCATTTGAGAGTTTGCATGATTCCCCACCAGTCGTTCAGATTTTATATTCCTTGACCAAATATAACATCCAGATAGCAGAGATGTGACATGATAGGTACCTGGGAAACAAGATTGAAATTTGGCCTAGTTTGACAACTATCTTGCATCTGGCATTGGGTGGTCCTGAGTACTTGCACAGCATCACCAGATCCCATCGGTCCAGGCAATGGTGCAACATTTGCCTGTTATTAATATTCTTAAAACACCATTGTTTCCTATTGAAGTTTGGATCAATCACTTTGATTATTGTGCAGTAACATGTCACAGAAATGAAAAGATGACTGGATACAGATAGATAAGTGTCAGCCAATCCTGATCTGGATAAGTACAAGCAAGTACTAGTAGATATGCCTACCTAGATCTCATCATCCAATAATGACCTTGGTGTTCACAACACATATATTGGATAAGCAGGAGAATTTCATTCGAGTTGTGCTGTGAGGTTCTTCATGACATCAATCACCTAGCCATAGTTTTCAAAACACCCCACTAACCTGTAACCAATATCCACTTCATGAAAGCTAGAGCCAAGAGCCATGAATGTTTCCTGCCATGCAAGTGCTTGTTCAGGTCTTAGTTGTACATCTTCAGGTTTCCTATATGAAACCCGCCTGCTATTTGTTCAGCAGAATGCAAGATTTCAAACATACCAAGAGTTCCACATGACTTGATACCCTGAATTCCACATGGCTCAGTACCTATGCTCCAATCACTCAGCATTGACATTGTGTGATCAGATCTAGAAGCCATGTGGGTCAAGTCTGATCAGATTAAGCGAATTCCAAGTCAATAGCACCAAGGGCACTGCACACTTTATTTGTTCAGTATTTGGACCTCACTCATATATATAGCTCAATGCACATATCCTGTATTTTGTCTCTCTCTATTTCCATACCAGGTCAATCATATGCTCCTCCATGTACATATCTGTTTGTTTAGTACTTTTTGACATTGATGTGATAGCATTCCAATATTTTGGGTTTAATTTTTAGATCCCATGCAAGGTGTAGAAATGATGAGAGGCAGCTATGATCCATTGATGCATGTACAGCAGAGGCATATTGGGCACCTTGTACATGTGATCTTTCCCTCATTCTTTTGCATGTATCTTGAAACACCACCAATCAAAGAAGTGAGAGTACCTTTCTATCTCTCTTTACATTGACTGCATGAGTGTCATAGAGAATGTGCAACTTGGACAATGTGTTACTCTGACAATCAATCGATGTGCAGAGAGAAATTAGACATTTTGAGGAGCCTGACTAATAATGTGAATTTGAAGGTCCTGTGGCGAAATCATTGATAGTGGAATCAAAAGTAGTGGATTGATTCTACACCTGATAGTAGGTCATTAAGCCTAAAATTGGGATACATTCATATCTAGACTTTGTTATCCAAGTGGATAAGAGAGAGGATTTCTTTATTTACATACCACAAACAAACAGCTAAAACTGTTAAGATGCGGTGCCTCAAGGCCTTATGGGCTGGTCTGGGGGTTAGTGTACTAGATATGCATTAGGGGATAATCCGAATAGCCAAGGGTCCGCGTTTGTGATGGCATTTTTGGTTTATATGTGGGTGTGTTGATGCCATCCAAAAAGTGGATGACTTCTGCAGCGTTTAGAATCCTAAATACTGTTTCAAACCTTATTTGTCAGAGATTCAGCAGCAGCTAGTGGAGGATGAAATACATGATGAAGATGAATTCCCAAGGTACATTGGCAGGATACTTAACCATGCTATGAAGAATCACACCATGAACACTTTGAACACCGACAAGCAAGAAGAACATACCTTATTTGAGGTGACCTACTTCCTCATCTCCATGCTAATACCCCCTGACAGGTTCTGTACTTGGCTCACAATGACTGAGCTTTCTATGCAAGTCAATCATTGATTCATACCAGAGCAGAGGTTTGCGACATTGTTGTGAAGTTTAAAAGTGATTTCAAAGAACAGCTTTCTCAGGCAGCCTGCCCCAACTCTTTCTAAGAGCATGGACAGCTGCATTTATTTTGCAGTTTGTTTTGCCAGTTTGTTTCTGTATGTGGCATGGCAAAGTGTTACAACCTGTGACTCTGTTAAGGTCGCGTGCTCAAGGGGGTTGGATCACAAGGGCTTGGCCTCAGCTCGTATGCTGTGCCCCTTTCCCAAGTATGTGCCCTTAATCACATATCCCCATCCCCCAATTTTGTTGTGCCTCACATTGCCTGTGCCTACTCATGATCAGATTTAATACCTGTCTTGATATAAATGCCAAACATTGAATTTGTTGATTCCCAGGTGTTAAGGTCATACTCAAGGCTAAATGGATCCAAAGGGCTTCAGCCTCAGCTCATGCGCTGTGCCCCTTACCCGAGTATTGACCCTTATTCAGGAAGGCAAGACTAACACATCTGGAGGGTCAGACGAGTAGTGTAGTGGATCTGGATGACTCCAGATGTGGGATAAGTATTGTAAGGCTAATCTGGATGAGTCCAGACTAGAAACTAATGGTAATGGGACTGTTGGGACAGAGGCAGATATGGATAGACTATAGGAATCATCCTAGTCTTGGAGGGTGATGAGAGTAGAGGTACTCAAGTCTGGAGGACAGGAATGAGCAGAACTAAGATGATATTTGAACTGAGGTGTTACAGAGATTTACAGGAGGTTATATACTATAGGTATCTAACGGAATGATCAATCAGCAGAGTCTGAGGCTATGTACAAAGCATGTGGATAGTCTATTGGTAAGTAGAAACAGATCACAAATCATGAAACAGAAATGAAACATAGGTAGCGGATAAGGGAGCAGGATGGATATACAGATAACCGAAATACCGGAGTTAGGGGGTTACCGAAAGGGGATGAGCACTGGTTGTGGATTCAGATGAGTTGTGGACCAGACTGGACAAGTGGACAGGTTGAATGATGAAATGTTGGAGGGAGATAAGATGCGGATAGGATCGGAGATAAGATGTGGATCTGAGAAGAGATAAGGGTCGGATCTGAGATCCAGATATGCAGATATGACATGTATGAAGCATATGGATGGTCTATTGGTAAGTAGAAATGGATCACAAATTATGAAATGGAAATGAAGCATAGGTAACAGATCAGGGAGCAGGATGGATATACAGATAGCCAAAATACCAGAGTTAGGGGATTTACTGAAAGGAGACAAGTGCTGGTTGTGGATTCAGATGAATTGTGGACCGGACCAGACAAGTGGACAGATTGGATGACAAGATGTTGGAGGGGGATAAGATGTGGATAGGATTGGAGATAAGATGTGGATTGGATCTGAGATGAGATAAGGATTGGATCTGAGATCTGGATATGTGGATATGACACCAGGAGACCTTGCAAAAATATGCAAAACTGTTCAATTTTATGTAGCACACACACATCTCAGTTCCTTTTGAGAGACCAAGATGTGAGTTAGAATATTTGTCACCTGTACAGTGTAAAAAACCAAAACTGATGTCTCATAGTGTACCCTCTGTGTTCAGGACTGAATGGCAGCAGCACTAACTACATACAACTTCACCGGTGGTAATATTCACTAAGACAGACCATACTAAATACATGAATCATGTGGCAAGCTTTGGGATAATAACATTAACATTGATTTAGCAATAGTAGTTGTGGTGCTGTGAGCAGATGTGCCCTACTTATATGCTAGTCCTGCCAATAGAACCACAAAATTTATCAAAGACCATAGTAGCTCTTTTACTATTATTTCTTATTCCATATTACAACAGCTCTGTAGCTCAATGGACTCAGTACATAGATATTGAGTGCGAGTCTCAGTTAGTGCTGGTGAGGGCTGAAGTTTGAATAGAGTGCATATATTTTTATGAATACAATTATTTACTACCAAATAATGGCACTTAACATGATTTCTCGGTAAGCTCGGTAAAAAGGCCTGAAGCTAGCTTACTCAACTACACCTTGCTCTGGCATCATGTTGGAGCTTGAAATATATATGACCACAACATTGTTTTGCACAACTGCAGGACATGCAGAACCACTTCCCAATCCACTGCCACATCACATTGAGGTGAATCTGAGAGGTAAGCACAAAAGCACGCACAAAGGTGCCATTGGAACAAGCAAGGCACTATACAGGCACCATAGATGCATGAGGTGCCTTGTATGTGGAAGTGTGTGTGTGTGGTGCACCTGAGTGTCACCTTGCTATGAGACATGCTATGAGACATGGTGAGAATATGCCTGTTGTGAGGCTACTCACAATTGGTGTTTCTACAGTGGGACAATATGCTGCCAATCAAACCAGGTTTTGTGACTCTGTGGCCAACCATATAACAGTCTAAGTGATCCCTCAATTATCAGGGCTGTAGATGTTCAGCCACTAATTTGGCTTCTTCCAAGTTGAGCTCAGCATCAACACTAAGTCCAACATGCCCCCTCGAGCGAAGACTCAAAGGCAATATGTTAAGGTTGCATGCTCAAGGGGGTCGGATCACAAGGGCTTGGCCTCAGCTTGTATGCTGTGCCCCTTTCCCGAGTACATGCCCTTAATTTCTGGGGGCTAGAATAGTCATCTGGAGTTTCTGGGATTTGACTAGGGCAGATAACAGACGTCCAGATCTGAAATGTGAGATAAATCTGACAGGTGTCCAGAAGTTACTTGGACAAGTGGATAAGGCTAATCTGGATGAAGTCTGGACTAGAAACTAACAGGGGATAGACTACCCTAAGGTAGAGCTGGAGATATAGTCTAGGATACAATCCTAAGACTTGGAATATGACAAGAGACTTGGCTCGAGTCTGGAGGACACAGGAATAAGCAGGAACTAAGATGATATTTGAACTGAAGTATTTCCAAGAGTTACAGGAGGTTTATATACTGTAGGTATCATATAGGAATCAGTCAGCAAACACAAAGGCTATGTACAAAGCATATGCAAAGTCTATTAGTAAGTAAGATGGATTACCAATAATGCATATCAGAAATG